TGAGTGTTGATAGTTGATCCAAGAAGAATGAAGTCCTTGACAACTTCAATCTTTTCTCCGTTGATAAGAATGTGTTTTGAGTCCTCTTTTTTTATCAACCCCCAACTTAAAAAAGGATTAAAAACACTCCTTTTCCTGGGACAAACAAAATTCTTGTGTTTACCTTAAATGCAACGCGATTTATATAAAATCCAAGTTAATTTTCATGAGGAAGTATGTAGCTATTTTCATTTCAAAGACAGAATTAATCACATAATAATTAGTTTTCTGCTGGACTGTATACACTCTACCTTTCTTCACTGGGTTGTTCTCTTCAAAGGCCTAATCCTATTAGCTATTCTGAGAGGGTTTGTTGTTGTTATAACAATCCAAGTATATGACTAAACCTTAAATTTGGTTCACAGAATCCAGACCAGATGTTACATCAGTATTCCGTTATATTGTCACTGTTACCAATGTCCTGGAGTTAGCAAAGATTAGCATTGCTCCATGGTCACTCAATTCCAATTCAGCAAATTAACAAGAGCGCCCGAGAGCAAAATGAATGAATCTAATTCATTTCTAGATATGAGAATCCAGGTGAAATCACAGCACTCAGGATGGGAATGGACTTTCATTATCTTTAATTCAACCTCTTCTTCCACAGGTAGAGAAAGGAGACTCTAAGAGGACAAAACCAAAATAAAACTAGCTGCACTCTTAAGTCCCCTGTCTGATCTCCACTCAACTACCATGTTGTTTGGCTGGAGGTCCTTGGTCTGACCAGTAGAGGATCAAGCTCCTCCAATGCCCTTGCTAGATGGTGCATATAAATAAAATGAGAGCCATCATGTAGTTTGCTGGGCTGTTTGGGAATTGCCATAAACTTAGTACTTAGATTCGAATATCAAAGGAGCAGCCCAGGATGAGCCCACTAAAGATCTGCAAAACCACTCTTCAAAAACCCGCCTGTGTCATAGAGACCCCAGAACAGCCTGGGGTGGGCTGGCACCTCTGAGGTCCAACTAACACCCAACCAAACATACAGGCAACCCTAAGGTGATTCTATTCTTTGTGCAAATAGAGCCTCAACCTCCAGGGAAGAACAAGAATTTTAAATGGAAAACAAAGCACAATCTCTCATATTTGGTCACTAGGTTAAAAACCCTAGCAACCAGAGAGTAAAATAAAAATAAAATAAAATTCTTGACAGCAACGTTGAGCAGCATGCTAGCTTTCTAAATCTGTCTGACACAATTCAAGGGTGGGTGGCTGTCATCAAGCTCCCAGTATACTTTCTGATGGCTGAGAGATCTCATTTTTTCATCATTTCTAAACGAAGTGAACTGTGACCAGAGTAACACCGTATATCTGTTGATGGATAAAAGACATGAGTGGGTGTTACTGGGGAGGGGCAGTTAAATGTCATGATTCAGCAAAGTCCCACTTCTCCTATACACACCATCCATAATTGTCCCCTCCTTAATTAAAGAACCACCAAAGGGTTTACAGATTTAAAAGATAGATAAAGGTGAGAAGCAAAAGTTGCACTCATGGTGTGGTGCTGTAGGATAAGCACTGGACTGCTACCTGCAACGTTGGTGGTTCACACCCACCAGCCGCTCCTTGGGAACCCTATGTAGGGTCGCTATGAGTCAAAACCAACTCAATGGTACTTAGCCACAATAACCAGGGCAAAGGTTAGGATTAATATTTAGGTACTGAGGAGTCTCATTTCTCCTGTTACTACAAAGGAAGGAAAATGGACTGCATACCCCCTCCCCTCAATCATGTCTACATCTGGACAGAAGAAACACCATCAAGCAAAGTGCACTTCTGACCCATGAAAAGTTACCTCAACCAGGAGAGCAATCTGCGTAGTTTCCTTCCTGCCTTCTTACCTTTGCATCTCATAGGATTATATGTGCAAAGGATTACATCTCTTATCAGGAAAATGGACACAACACTATCCTCCCCCCAAAGAAAATCCAATAAAATGATAGACTTTAGGGGCTTCAAGTGTAGTGACATTTTCGCCTATTTTTAATATGTTGCATTTCTAGGTTCTATTTCCCTGAATAGAAGGGAAAAGTACTTGCCATCTCAACCTAGTTCCTGCTGTATTTTCTAGCAGTTCCAGACTGGCCCCCCCAACTGGAGGGCAGTTATCCTGGAACACCCACCTACAAGCAGTAGAGGAGCCCAAGGAGCCCCCAGGATGGTTAAGATAGAGCTTTTTGTGCCCGACCCTTGACACATTCATAAGACAAAAGAATTACAACTCACCTGCCGCCTTTCATCAGGGGCCTTCAGGAAAAGTGCATTTATCACTGCAATAGTGTACGTCTGGATTTCCTGATCTGTCCTGTAAAGACACACAATGACGCAGAAAATGAGAAGAGAAATGCCACAGAAAAAACAACAGGCAATCCCTGAGTTATACCCCAGTAAGGCTCATAACTTCCACCCCTAGAAAAGGGACAGAGATAGACAAGACCCCCACAAATGCAGTTGGCTCTGAGAATGCATTTCAACAACCACAAGGTATAAACACAGTGGGGCTACAGTCACTATTACTAGTTGGGCAACAGATAACTCGTTAAATGTCTCCACGATCTCCCAAGAACACCCAGGCAGCCTGCCCACTCTTCCTCCACCCCTCTGCCACAACACCTCTGTTAGGATTAAAAGCATACAATCAAGGAATGCAGCATGTGTGCATGTGTGTGTGTGTATAATTATCTGATGCATGAAGCATATTAGGGAACAGTCTTGAGGATTCTCCCATTCCTGGGCTTAGAAAGGCTGCTGCCTTGTCTCCATGGCAATGGTATTACAACTCTGTAAAATCGATTCCAAACTATGAACTTAATACCCAAAGAAACAGATATTTATATTTACGCATTTGCTTCCACTGAAAGAAACCAGACATTCTCAATGAAGTCCCCTTCAAGTGTCCTTTAAGCACACGGTAAACAGTAAATAAGAAAGACAAGACATAAACAGGGACAGGCCTGTGAGCTACTTTTCAAGGACTATTGTGGGCTGAATGGTGACCCTGGGAAAAAAAACAAACAAAAAACCGTCTACCCACATCATCATCCCTGGAACCTGTGCATGTCACAGGTTCTTGAGAAGAGGAAATTCGCCTGGAGGGTCCTAAGCGTCCCTATAAGAGTCTGGGGACAGACACACAGAGGAGAAGGCAATGTGAAGACAGAGGCAGAGACTTGAGTGATATGGATCCAAGCCAAGGAATGCCAGGGAATGTCAAGGCCACCCAAAACTATAAGAGGCACAGAACAGGTGCTTTCCTAGGGTCTCTGCAATGTGGTCAAATTGGCACTTTGATTTCCAAGTTCTGTCCTCCAAAAACTGGGGGAAAAAAATCAATGTCTGTTGTTATAAGCCACCAAGTTTGTGGTTCAGCAGAAGGCAGGACTAGTTCATCGCAAGCTACTGTGGCCCATGGAAAAGTTCTTGTGGTCACACTAAGAGTTTCCTTACCTGCAACATAGGTAAGAAGAAGGCATCGCTGTGAGGAAAAAGTCCCTAAGTGGTGGAACTGGCTAAATGCTTAACTACTGACACAAAGGTTGGCAGTTTGAACCCATCAAGAGGTACCTTAGAAGAAAAGCCATGTACCTACCTCAGAAAGGCCACAGCCACAAAAACCACAAGGAAGAGTAATTCAGAGCGCTATCATGCATCTGAATCTTGTTCACTTGTGGGGGGGTGACGACAAAATGAGAGAATGCATATAAAATTGTTCACACAGTGCTTGGCAAGTAAGAAACTCTCCACTTTGAGGGAGTGCACCGTGAATGAACGAGTGTGTCCTCAAGACTCAGAGAAAAGATAGAAACTGCACGGTTAATGCATTTCACATTCAGGCAAATGTGAACGGATCTTGCTTCTGGAGAAGTTGCACACAAAGTCACCATTTTAAACTGTGTGCTAATTTCCACTGAGGCCACAAGTCACAGCTTCTTCAATTTAAATTTAAATTCTGGTCAGCCTCCTCCCTCCAAGAAAAAGAAATCATCAATGCACTTTTGATTGCTTATGTTGTAAACACAATATTTAACATTTTTGGTCTATTAAGAATTACTCAGTAATCTCTCATACGTCCCAACCAAAGGACCAATCTGTTTCCTCATGAGAGTTTGCAAATATGAACTGAGACAGAAGAGGACAAGTCTTGGGAGGTGGGTCATTTTTAGTGAGCTAATACACTAGAGAAAAGACCTGAGGCTGAGGGACCCCACAGGCCATTATTTCTGTTCTTCCCAAGGCTCTTGTTCTTGTTAAGTGCTGTCGAGTTGGTACCGATTCACAGCGACCCTGTATAAGGGTTTCTGAGGAGCAGCTGGTGAGCTTGAAACACTAACCTTGCAATTCAAACCAACCTTGCAGTCCAGTGCACTAACCCACAGTGCCAAAGTCATTCCTGGATGCTATATTCCAGTATCTGCCCCAAAACTCCGTATCCCCTGGCAGCTACCTCATGATGCCTGGTACCATCTAGCACCTTAAAGTAACTTATAAAGTAGCAGTGTACAAACGGGTCCTACTCAGCTATCATCAGATGCAACCTTACAAGTTATGTAAAATTGGAGAGAAGGGAAAAAGCCCCAAAGGGTAGAGGCTGTTAGGGAAGTGGTCTTTCACTTTTAGCTCAAGCCTCTGGAAAAAAACATATAAATTTTATTATAAATGACATGTCACTTTGAGCCTAGCTAAATTAGAAAGAAGCCTGAATTTTAAACTTCCTAATTTACTATGAAAATACTCTTATAACAGAAAAAACACTATTCTTAACGTGATTAAGGGAAGTCCATTGAGAACTTAGGAGAACAAATTGTTCTATTATGTCTTATTAAAAGTCAGAGTTTACTGACCAAAGTTGATTAGTTGTCACCAGGGGTGGAAGAGAAGAGGAGAGGGGGTCATCTTTTTGGAAGGAGTGAGATTCTATTTATGGTGATGCAAAATCTGGCAACAGAAGTTGGTGTTGCTTATACAACATGAGTAATGTGATTGAACTCATCAAATTGTCCAAATGAAAAACACTGAACTGGCAAATGCTGTATTATACATACCTTTACAACATTTAAAAATAACATTAAAATGCACACACAAAAGTCTCTATTGATGCCTGACATGGTGTTGTAGGGTAGGCAACACTGGACTGCTAATCAAAAGTCAGCAGTTCAGACTCTTCAGAACCAACTCCACAGCACTTAACAACAACACTGATGCCTACCAATATTCATCAACACTGAAAACTGATGAAGTGCCAAGCACTGAGGGTTGTTGTTGTTAAGTGCCGTCGAGTCGGTTCCAAGTCATAGCGACCCTGTAGAGGGTTTCCGAGGAGCAGCTGGTGAGCTTGAACCACCGACCTTGCAGTTCAAATGGCTTTGCAGTCTGGCACATTAACCCACAGCACTATACACTAGGACTCACAAAGGGTAAAGTGGTGCCCAAAACTGGCATATAGCTCACGCCCACTGGTAGGAACAAGGGGGCGTGACTAGTGACTATGCCATTTCAGTGTGTCAGGAACAAGGGTGGTCCATTCTCTAGTTATATTCCAAATCAAGGTTCTTATTAATATTTTTTTCCTGTGCATTTAATAGAACCAACACAGAACACTGCCCAGGACTCTCTCCACAAAGCCTTTCCTGTCTCCCACGCTTACCCTTGAAGATGTGGAATCAGTTGGCCAATTGTGATCTCTTGCGCCACCTTCTGGTAAAGGTCATGGCTATTGAGCACCATGGACTCCAAAATGGCCAAGGACCGCTGCAGGATGGAGATGTCTACGGCTGACTTGTTCACAAAACTTGCTATCTGAAAATCCAAGGGGAGGCACAATTGGCTATTGGTGGGGGAAGCAGAGCAGAGGCATAAGGCAGGGAACAAATAACGTAAACAGGAAATGCACTTGAAAAACATCAGACACTGAGGATACAAAGTACTTACAATTACAGCAAAATGGCAAGAAACTCAGCAAGTGAACAATGGCTGCCCATCACATCATCACATCATCACAAAACGCTACTGAGACCCTGTTTCCATCATTCAATGAAAATTAATTTTTTACAAGGGGGGGTGCTTAAAGAATTATTCTGTCTAGTTTTTCCAGAGTATTCTTCCAAGTTTCAGCTTTCGGGGAAGGATGATTTAAACACATAGGCTGTAGGGATGCCTGTGTTTCTTTGAAACAGTAATGTGGGCATATGCCAAAAGTCATTTCTTTTCTAGTCTCAGACAATTCGTTAATCCACATGATCAATGCCTGTTACATCGTTATGTTCTTAAAGGACTTACAACAATCACACTCTTGTCAGCACATTCCAACTGGTAATTGTTCAGTCAGTGGCAACTCTCCTAACCAAAACCCCTTTCCTCCCTCCAGTCTTCCAGTTTCTTCTGGCTAAAATAAATCCTTTTCATCTCTCTCAAATTGAGCAAAGAGGAAAACGGTTTAAATTAACAGTACTAAAAGTTAAAATAATAGCTTAAGCTCTTAAACATATCCCCCAAGGAATTAATCATTAAGGTCTCAAATATCATAAATCACAGTGTAAGAGGGAAGTAAAATAAAGGTTAGAATAATGGATCACAGCAATCCAAACACATGGGTACCATATAAAGGTTTTATTTTAGAGGCATCATTAAAAGTTATTACTGTCTGTTGACAACTCATACTAAAAGGCTGTTATTATATCAACATAATGACTATGTTCTTAAAAGCGAAATAATTTGGTTCTGTCACAAATAGACACTTGCTACTTCCCGCTGTCAACACCCATTTCTCCCTTTCTGCAGGCGCATCCCCTCCCCACCCTTGGACATAACAAAATGCTAAGTGCACCACGGTAACTTCCAGTTACCACTCCGATTGTGTCCAGCTCAATGAGTCCCTGGTAAAAGTAAGGGTGGGAGTGGAGATACCAACATCCATGCCTGCTAACAGGAGGTGACAAATACAGTAAACGATATGACAAAGTATAGTAACTTTCTGACTTTACATTCTAAAATGCTATTGTTTTACATATAATACCAACTACAAGAAGATTATGATAATTTTAAGGTTCTCAAAAGACGGAATTAAGTTATTTCACAGTAAATAAACATGTATACTGTGTCTGCCAAGCTGCTGTCTTAATCCTTACAATCTGCTCCACTCCACCCCTCTGACCATGCTAGGGCCACCAAATCTCTTCAATGGTCAATTATCCTCATACTAGTTTAATGCTTAACTGAGGCCATGTCTAAATACAATAGAAATGCCTTTCCCACAACTACAATCCTAATCCGTTTTTCACTGGCCCTGCACAATATGAGGAAGCTCAAGAACTTATCATAATTTCATTGGCACTACAGACTTGAGATTGTTTTTCTCTACTAATTGTCTCCTCTTTTCAGGGTACCCTTCTTCTTTCCACTTAGTAAGTTAGGATGTGCCTTAAGATTCAGAGTCTCTGGGTGAAGTAAAGGGTTAAGCATTCAGTAACAAAGCAAAAGGTTGGCAGTTTGTAACCACCCAAGGTACATCAGAAGAAAGACCATATCTACTTCCAAAAGATCAAAAAACCTGCACATGCAGGGTCATTGTGAGTCAGAACCAACTAGACAGCATCTAACAAAGCCAAGAATTGTCTCCTCTTTCCAGAATCCCCTTTATTTATTACATTTGGATGCGTCTTAAGACACCACAAGTTTCCTACCTGAAAGTCTGCCCACCTCATTTCCCACCGCCCTTCGTTCCTCTTTCCACTCATTTAATATCTATGCATCTATTAACTGATTCATTCTAGCAGTATGTATTGGCTATGTGCCATACAATAGCTTGCACTGTCCTAGACATGAAAGAGCAAGGCTCATACAACTTTTAACTCAAAGAAGTGTATGATTTTGCACAGACATATACATAAAAAGGGAATTAACTATATTGGGTGTGCAGCTGTGGGTTAATGTGCCAGACTGCAAAGCCACTTGAACTGCAAGGTCGGAGGTTCAAACTCACCAGTGGCTCCTCAGAAACCCAATACAGGGTCGCTATGGGTTGGAACTGGCTCAACAGCACTTAACAACAACAACAATGATATTGAGTATGTATTATTGGATATTATCGGATATTTCAACAAAGCTTAATATTAAATGGGGTGCAAATATAACTCATGATCTTTACATTCTTCTCTTCCAATTAGCACTCTTTCCCAAATTTGCCATAATCGTTAATGATTCATGTCCTCATCTCTCTAGTTTCTATTTTTATGGACACACTAAATGTCTCCCTTTGGCACATCTGCAAAGTGGCATGGGTGCAGACAAAGTTAGCACACTAGTCCAACTCATTCTTAGCTAACTAAAACAGCATCTTCTTCAGCACCCTCTATGTTCGAGTCTTCCCAAAATGGAAACTTACCCTCTATTTCTATCAATATCTTGTTGACAATATGTCTTTTGGCAAAATAAAATAAAAATTAAATCATAACACTCAATACTTTCTGATAGCAAGTAACTGTCTAATGATGAGTGTTTTAATTCCTCTCCCAGTACCACTTCCAATGTTGTTGTTGTTGTTAAGTGCCATCGAGTCAGTTCCGACCCATAGCGACCCTGTACAGGGTTTCCAAGGGTGTAAATCTTTACGGGAGTAGAAAGCCTCATCTTTCTCCCGCGGAGCGGCTGGTAGTTTCGAACTGCTGACCTTAAGGTTCGCAGCCCGATTCGTAACCACTACACTACCAGAGCTCCTTACCACTTCCAATGGGCCTACTCAATAGTCATAAACGATAGTTTAAGGTTCTCATGTACTCTGGCCTATTTATATTCCACACACATATCCTACTTCCAACTGTCATTACTATATGCATTTATAAATTGTTTTCTCTCAAGTAAAACTAACCCCTTACTTTCAGCAAAGTATTCTTTTAAAAGTTCTCTCTTCTAGACAACCTCTTTCTTGGCATAGGTCATTGTTATTATTGTTAAGTGCCTTAGAGTCAGTTTCGAGTCACAGTGATGCTGTAGAGCCCATCATTTCAGCAATCGTACAATGTGTTAGAGAATATGGGTTTTGTGTAACACATCTAGCCAAGTACCTGCCTGGCAGAAAGCAGCTACGCACCTATGAGAGTTTCAGATACGCTTCTGATGTATAGAACAGCTATGTTTTTGGATCTAACGTCTTTCTTTGCCTTTATTTGTTAGTGGCTTGAACTGGGCATCTAAATAAGCCAATAGTTTTATTTAAATAGCATTATTAACCAAAGATTCAGGGTTGATTCAAGCTAATTTAGTATTTCCTCAAAAGAAGCTCTAGAGACAGAATAATTAGTGGAACGCACGCTGAGTGTTCAATGTGTGATTTTAAGATTCTAGATCTTGATGAAGCTAACTTATACATGACATTGGTTAAATTTCAGTTTTACTTGTCCCTCCCAAATGAAGAATGACGTCCTTTGCCTTTAAGTTTATCCCAGCTCTATTACTAGTCTTTGGCTGACACAGATGGGCCGGCCTAAACCAGCTACAGTTGTTGTTGTTGTGTGCCGTGGAGTCGGTTCCGACTCATAGTGACCCTGTAACAGGGTTTCCGAGGCTGTAAATCTTTACGGGATCAGAAAGTCTCATCTTCCTTCCACAGAACAGCTGGTAGTTTCAAACTGCTGACCTTAAGGTTTGCAGCCCAATTCGTAACCACTTTGCTACCAGAGCTCCTTAAGCTACAGTACGCTTCTTGAAATAGGTTTGTATTATAAGGAAAAAAAGGAGAAAGGAGTTGGCAGTTACTATGTGTGCTTCCTCTACATAGAGTCCTGGTGGGATAAAGCACTGAACTGCAAGGTTGGTTCGAACCACAAAGTCGGTGGTTCTAACTCACCAATCGCTTCTTGTAAACCCCATACAGATTGCTATGAGTCAGAACCGACTCGACAGCACTTACCCACAACCTCCTCATTCGTTTAAAAAGGTTATCTAAACCAAACAGAGTAAGAAGATTTCAGCGATTTTTTAAGGCACTGAAGTAAAATTGCAGTTCAACAATCAATGACAAAAGCTATTAAAGTTACATAAAAAAAAAAAAAAATTTTTTTAGAACCACTTAGAATGAGATCCTACACTTCTCCTATGTTACCAAAACTGAAAAGAATCCTGGAGACAGCATGGAGCCCGACTCCTGCATTTTAAATGATCTGGGATGTTGCTGTATGCTACAGAGGCAATTTCGGCTCTAAGAAGAAACCCATAAATCTCTCAAGAATTTAAGAAGCCAAAATTGACAGGTCTCTACACCAAAATGGCTGAATGTTTGTCTAGGCACTGAAAATATTTGCAGAGAGAGCCAGGTCCCCCTGCAGAGCTAACGTTTCAAGAGAGTTTGTATGTAACTTTCCTTCCAAGACAAGGCATTTGGCTAGAGGAACACTAACTCTTAACACAAAAAGTACTTTTTTTTTTTCTCTCCCCTTTGCTTCTTCTCCATCTCTTCCTACCCTAAGTAAGTAGCCAAGTCTTTTAAAACAAAACATTCTATGTTCACAACAAAGCCTTCCAAGTTTCAGAGTATTTATGAAATAGTATTATTATTCATTGCATCTCAAATTTGCAAACAGAAACTAGACCCTAGCATAACAAAATAGATAAAATGGTTGAGAAGGAGACAAGGGCTGGCAGGGGAAAAAAATAGTTCTCCAAAGTGGCATGAATTTGGCATTAATAAGGAGCCAAATCTAGAGCCCAGGGATAAGCATCTTTTGTCAGAGCATTTCCTAGTTGGTTTTTGCAGAGATAAAGCTCCACTTAAAGAGAGTTGGTTGGTTGGTTATGTGCCGTGGAGTCGGTTGTGACTCATAGCGACCCTGTACAGGGTTTCCGAGGCTATAAATCTTTACGGGAGCAGAAAGCCTCATCTTTCTCCCAAGGAGCAGCTGGTAGTTTCGAACTGCTGACCTTGCAGATCGCAGCCCAATTTGTAACCACTACGCTGCCAGATTTTTGCATACAATCCCTGGGTTGTCAAAGACCTGAACTTGGTTCAGCTAATGAACAACAAACATTAGCTTCACACACACAAAATATTAGCTATAAAGTAATTGTGTGATGATAATTTTTAAGTCAAACCTGAGGTCTCTTAGTACCAATGCAAAGTGAATGCAATGACTAAGAATACAGAAATAGAATGCATTGTCTTTTTAAAAATATTTATTTTATTTCAATGGCTTTTTTAGCTATTGTTGTTGCTAAGTGCCATCGAATCAATTCCAACCCATAGAGACCCTGTATAGGGTTTTCAAGGAGGAGCTAGTGAGCTTGAACTACCAACCTTGCAGTTCAAATGGCTTTGCAGTCTGGCACATTAACCTACAGTGCCACACCAGGACTCCTAGATAGATCTATCTATCTATCTATCTATCTATCTATCTATCTATCTATCTATCTATCTATCTATCTACCTATCTACCTACCTATCTTTACATATAGTAGGATTTTAATTTCAGTGAATGAAAACCACTTTCTTAAAATAGTTAGAAATTTACGGCAGTCATTCTTTCTAACCACTCACACTATTCACATCATTTAAAGAAAGAAGACAACTTTGTAATTCCTTCCCACTGGTAAGACATTTCTTTATCATCTTTTTTTTACTGCAGTAAAATACATATAACATGAAATTTGCCATTTGAACCATTTTTTTCAATGTACAATTTAGTAGCATTAATTATATTGACATAAAATTATCACTGTTCTCTATTTCCAAAACGTTTTCATTGCCTCAAACAGAAAGTCTGTAGCCATTAAATAGTAATTCACCCTTGATGTGGCACTGCAGGATAATGCACTGGACCGCAAGGTCAGTTTGAACTACAAGGTGGGTGCTTCAAATTCACCAGCAGCTCCGCAGAAAGCCTTTACAGGGTCGATGTGAGCCGGAACCAAATTGATAGCACATAAGAACAACAACCCCTAAAAACCTCTTTGTCGCTCTACGTAGTACTGATACTCCCGACAGTTCATATCTATAAGATTGTACAATATTCATCTTTCTGTGACTGGCTCATCACTGATATTTTACTTAAAATGTCTTTACATACGGTACCATTTATTCCTCCTTTTCTTCAAGGTCAATAGTGTTTTTAGTTTTGTTTTGTTTTTTAATACTTCAAAAACCAACTTCTTTCCTTCCTTTTACAGAAATGGATTACGGTCTCCCTCTATGCCAGGACCTGGGGTAAGGCCATGGAGAAACCTGTGTTTCTGGATGCCTAGAACTCATGACCTAATTGGAGAGAATACCAAATGAACAACAGCAATGAAGAATCACAGGAATGTAGCCAGCACTGAGAGAAGAGAAATGCGCATGATGCCAAGGAGAACTGGAGCAGAAGAGACCACTTAGTTCTGCTAGTGAGGCCAGGGTGAATACACAGACCATGTGGGTTAGACAAGGCTCTCTGTGAAAAGCACAGGTCATTGGTGATGACCCCTCAGTCACTACAGGTTCATCTAACCTCCCTAAGCCACTGCCTCCTGGCTTCCCCTACTAGAATACCAAAATCATCTCTTCTACTCTGGACAGGAGAGCTGTGGAAGCAAGAGTGATAATGTGGGTGAGAATGCAACACAATGTCAGGGAATTGACACAAAGTGTGGCACTGTGGGATCAACACTGGATTGTGAAGCACAAGGCTGCTGGTTCAAACCTACCAGCTGCTCCTTGGAAACCCAATGCAGGGTCACTAGGAGTCAGAACAACTTAACAGCATTTAACAACAACAACAATCATATTGTTAAGGAGTCTTCGTGGTGCTACGGTTCATATGGTTATTCAACCACTAAGAAAAAGGTGCGTGATTCACACTTGGCAGACTTTCTGAGAGAAAATACATGGTGATCTGCTCCCACAACTGTTTTCATCTGGAAAATACATAGGGCAGTTCTACCGGTCATCCAGAGTTATTCTGAGTTGGAATTCACTCAATGGCACACAACAGTGACAACTATAGTGTGTTTTTTATAGAAAAAAAGGTTCTGGTAACACACAAACAAGGTAATTTGGACATAAGAAAGACGTGACATAAATTTGGAAAGTGTTAACATTTCTCTAAGTATGCAGAAAATCTTAAAAACCCAGTATCTTCAGAATTGGGGTTGCGTCTTTAGAACTTGCCTTTAGAAAGACAAACAAAATACAGCACTCATTTTGAGCTCTCCTCTCAGAGTCCTGGTGTGGTACTGCAGCCTAAGCACTGGACCACAAAGTCAGTTTGCACCACAAGGTTGGCAGTTCAAATTCACCAGCTGCTCTTCAGAAACCCTATACAGGGTCATCATGAGTCAGAACCAACTCGAATGCACTTAACAACAAAAATCTACCTCTTACACTCTCTGCCACCACAAAGATGTCCCCTGTAGCATCTTTAATTTCTTCTACTTTCTCGACGACAGTAGTTTTGTTTCTTCTTAGCAATTCATACCACTGACCAAGGAGTACTGGTGTGGTCCACCAGCCACTCCTTGGAAACCCTATACAGGGTCACTATGAGTCGGAAACGGCTGGACGGACGGCATTTAACAATAACAACCAGACGAGGAGCTCTGGTAGAGTAGTGGTTATGAATCAGGCTGCAAACCTCAGGGACAGCTGTTCGAAATTACCAGCTGTTCCGCAGGAGAAAGATGAGTTTTCTGAGTTTGTAAAGATTTACAGCCTCGGAAACCCTATACAGGGTTGCTATGAGTCGGTACCGACTCCACGGCACTAACAACAACAACAACCATTTACAATAGAAGGCAAAAAGCTCTTTTCCCTATTTATAGCCTTTCCGTGTGGTTCCTGTTACTCTTCTCCTTTGGCCTTGTAGATTTACATAAGAAGAGAGGGTTCAGAGATGTTCTCAATGGACTCCAGTCTTAAGTAAATGTGTATGTCCCATCCAGGAGCCAATGAACCTCCAACACCCTTATTCGGAGATAAGGAGCCATAAATTCAGAATAGAGACTCCCCAAGGTATTGAATAACCACAGAGAGAACTGGAGTATTTCACAGGGAAGGAACCACAACCGGTGATCAAAGTTAGCACTGCCATAGTAAGACATCTCAAGTCCAAGTGCTCCTTATATGACGCACTGAGAAGGATCCAACGCCACTTCTGTATGACTTTCCCAAAATGCCAAGCCTCAATATGATCATGGGGACACATCAGACCAAACATGCCAAGTCCACAACATAGATGTCCTGCATTCCTCAAATGCAGTAATGATTGAGGAGATCAGGAAGACTTGGCAGCTAAATGCAATGTGGGATCCCACACAGGATTCTTAGCAGAGAAAGGCATTAGTAGAAAAAGTTGCAAAATCAAATAAAGGTTAATAGTATTGTACCAATGTCAACTTCTTAGTATTAAGTACAATTCACTAAATATGCTACTTTGCTGTTGTTGAGAACCATCAAGTCAGTTCCAACTCATAGCGACCCTGTAGAGGGTTTCTGAGGAGCAGCTGGTGGGTTTGAACCACTGACTTTGTGGTTCTCATTTCAGTGCTTATCCTACAGTGCAACACCAGGAGTCCAAATGTACTATAGGCATGATGTTGTTGCGATTGTTTGGTGCCATCAAGTTGGTTTCAACTCACAGTGACCCTGTATAGGGTTTTGGAGGAGCAGCTGGTGGATTTGAACCGCTGACCTTGCAGTTACAACCGACCTTGTAGCCTAATGCTTATCCTTCAGTGCCACACCAGGACTATGCTAAATGCTAACAATAGGGTAAGCCGGATGAAGACTACATTTTTTGCATGGCATGTTTTCGTTAACTCTACCACTATTCGAAAATTTGGAGTCTCCGTGTGGCGTTACAGGATAAAGCACTGGACCTCAAGGGTGGTTTGAACCACAAGGTCGGTGGTTCAAACTCACCAGCAGCTCTTTAGAAACCCTATACAGGCTTGCTATGCATTGGCACCGACTGGATAGCACCTAATAACTTAACAACATTCCAAAACTGAAAATTTAAAAAGTCAAGTGGATCTTATGAGACAACTTTGATTTTTCCAGGTTCTTCCCAGGATTACTAAAATTCTATATTTTGATAACTGTTCCTAAGAATCTATACTTATAAAATGACTTATTGAATTCTAAACATCTCTTCTTTCAGAACACAACCCCCAAATCTACTGCCATTGAGTTACTTCCAACTTACAGCTAATAGAACTGTTCCTTTAGATTTCTGAGATTGTAACTCTTCATGGGAGCAGACAGCCTCATCTTTCTCCCCAAAGCAACTGGTGGGTTTAAACTGATGATTCCAGTTCAACACTTAACCCACTGCACAATCAGGCCTCCTGCAGAGACTTAATCTGTTTTTAATAGCATGCCACTTTGGTTCCCTGTTGACTCTGCAGTTCTCATGTTCTCAGTGTAGAGAAAAAATACTATTTTTACATAGAATTTGACACTCTGAGCTCCACAAACCTAATACTATGAAAAAACCACACCTCACTTTTAACATAAAGAATTAAAGGAAGCAGTAATCAAACACTCTCAAAGTAAAGTCTCTATGAAAGAAGAGCAGAACAATCTGCCTTACCTTCTTAATGAACGCCACTGAAAATGTATCCCACGACACAATGCCATGATCCATCAGCTCCACAAATGCAGTCAGAGTGAAAGACAACATGTCTCCAAAGCTGGAAAACAAAAGGAAATACAATTGTTACAGGTCCCAAAATGTCGAGCAAAGAAAAACACAGCCGCGATCACGTTCTAGAAAAACGAGTGCCGACCGACTGTAAAAGGAGTCCTTGTGTGGCGCTGTGGGTTAATGCGCTGGACGGCAAAGTCGGTTTGAACCATAAGGTCCGCGGTTCAAGCTCACCCGCTGCTCCACGGAAACTTATACAGGGTCACTATGGGTCAGAATGGACTCGACGGCACTTAACAACGGCAAGACTTTAAAAAGAGCAGTGGGAGTCTGCAGCTGGGCCAGAAACCAAATCCACCAGTCAGTGGCAATGAGACAGGATGACACCAGTGAGTTGAACCACGGCTTCAAGTTGACAGGCGTGGCTTTGAACTGACTCCTGCTCTGGAAGCAAGATCCTGTTGAGAAATTTACCTGTCATTCTGTCTGTTGTCTTTGTTGGAAAATGGGATGTTAGTACCTATCTAACCAAAAGGACTCCTGGTGTGGAGCTGTAGGATAAGCACTGGAATGTGAACCACAAGGTCAGTGGTTCAAACCCACCAGCTGCTCTTCAGAAACCCTATTCAGGGTCTCCTTGAGTCGGAACTGACTCGACAGCACTTAACAACTACAAAAAAAGTGTGTACCGCATACGTTCTTAGGATAACTTAAAAGAAAAAATTTTCAGCAAATGGCAGTTAAAGGAGCTAAAAGAAGGCGTTGTGTTCCATTTGTCATTCACAGGGATCTAAACGAAGAATGAAGGAACTCATTTAGGAGCAGTATCATTTTGGAAAGGGTCCACGTGGTCTGGATATACCATGAGTATGCACGGAAATATATCTGTGTCCATATCACACTGGTCAGCATTTTATCTCTGGACAAAATCTATGGAGAACTGGTGTGGCACTATGGGATAAGCAAGGTTGGTGGCTCAAAACCCCCAGCTGCTATTCAGAAACCCTATACTGGGTATTGGGAATGGCACTTACCAACAATAATGGGCACACTGTCTGTTTTCTCTCCCTAAGTACAGCTGTGATTCTGAAGGCCAGGGGAGGTTCTAGTGTGTGATTTAGAGACCCATATAGAAGGA